TCTTTGCATAGAATTGTTAGTTTTCCGATGATTTTCTATATTCGGCAATTCGAATATATATATATATATATATATATGTTATTGTATAGTTATCCTGGAATATTTTTCTGCGATTATGAAGAATATAGCTACTGAAAAAAAAAAAAAAAAAAAAAATATTACTTTAGATTGAAAGCAGTGGCTGGCGTCTTAAAATTAACAACACTACTTACTTTACTTTCGATAATTTGGTTTTGTTCTGTTTTTCGCTTATATTTTTTTCATCGACGATTTCAAGATTATTGAAAATTGTGTATAACATGGCATGAAATGCTAATGAATAATAAAAATTGTAATGCCATGACTAATAATATTGAATCGACCGAGTTTCAGGAACTTTTTTTTCCATTAATTTTCCAAGCACATTTAATGTCTTTATTAAACTATATTAGCGCTAATAGATATATCAAGCAATTTTACAGCTCGAATAAACTATATTTCAATTATTTAATTATTTAATTTCTTTAATCGCGGATACGATCACAAGAGTCATAAGAGATAGATATTTTTAATTAAAAAGCAGCATGAAAGTACATATTTTGAATTAAGAGATACCTTCGATTCCTTCCAAGATATTTCTAAAAAATGCGTTTGCGATTATTGTAAAAGAATTTTTAATTTATTAATATAGAATTGAAGTTATATTACACCTCGTAGCATATTTCTTAATTGTCATAACAATAAATATTGTTTGAGCCCATGATTATCAAGCATTAGAAATTGTGTATAACGTAGGAAAACTTTGCACAATAATTATTTATATACATTTACAACACATAAAAATGCTCATGAAATCCTAATAAGTAGAATGAACCGAATGTATAGACGTTCATACGTGAAAAATGAGTTATTTTTCTGTTTAGAACAGAATACACATTAATTAAAATTATGTACATTTGTGCATTTTAACAATAAATCATATGTCGTTTGTGAGAGGTAAATCTTAATAAATTATTGTTAAAAGAAAGGAAAAAAAGGGAAAGAAAAAGGGAAAAAAAGGAGAAGAGAGAGAGAGAGAGAGAGAGAGAGAGAGAGAGAAAAGAAAAAACAACAGAATAAATCGAAAATGTACATCGGAACAGGGTATGGGAAAGGTTTGAACAATTGATATTCATAAAGTATAATTTATGGCTTCGGTAGGTGATAATTAATTCTTTATTGTTATAGGGAAGGAATCATTATGTAATTATCCATACTGTGACTCTAATTTATATAATAATGTCTTTGACGACGGCCTTCGCGTGTACGAAGGATCATTTTCAAGTGAGCCGCATATTTTGATAAAACCCGGGCATCATTCAATCATAATGCGATAGAAAGAAGGAATAGGAGAATATAATAACAGCCGGTTGTAAAAATTGTGCCCAGTTCGTTTTTTTCCAACTTTTATCCATCGGCCGATTTCTTCATATTGATTTATGTACCATCGATCGCACCACGCCGTCCGAAGATTAGAAATTCTATTTTGCTATTTCACCGTGGCGTTCTGCAATGGCGCCACCGGCCAAATTTGAACTAATTTTTGAAAATCTGCCGATTCTTTGCATTCTTTGAATAATCCAAATTACCATCATAATATAATAATATCTGGTTCTTATTTATTTATTCATTGATCGTTCTTCGCTTTCACATTACTCCGTAGCTGCATTGGCTTACGATCATATCCGCGTACTGTTCCCTTCTTTACCTACATCGGATCCATCGATCGATCGATAAGGCGTTTGTTTTACCGACGGGTAAATTGACCCCGCGGATAATTCATTTAGGGAAAGTGCCGCTAGAGTTAGGTTAAATTGGTTAGACATTTTTTAAGATATGAATTTGGAAAACGTATGAAAACGCTCGGAAGAGTAGTTAGTATACAGTAGCATACAAACAATGGCTAATAGTTTTATTCGAATTTGCGATAAACATTTGGAACGTTGACACGCATATTTATATTACGTTACGTATTTCCAAATATTGGCGTAAATGCAAACTAATTTATGTGTTTGTATATAGACGCGCAAGCACGCACAAACATGCACACGTATTGCCAATGTTGTAAATATTCTCACGTGATAAATAAATTCTTCTTGAAAATACCGTTTCTTTTACAAATGCGAATTTATCGCTGCCCACCAACCATCAACCTCAGTGCGTAAGAAGACGAGTGGATGGATTTTTCGTTCCTCTTCCATTTATATATTCATATATAAAAGTGTCAAAATTTTAATTACACTTTTTCTTCTGAATGACGATCGTCATCATCGTCATCATCGTCATCATCGTCATCATCGTCATCATCGTCATCATCGTCATCATCGTCATCATCGTCATCATCGTCATCATCGTCATCATCGTCATCATCTTCTTCTTCTTCTTCTTCTTCTTCTTCTTCTTTTTCCTCCTCCTCTTCTTTTCTATTCTTTTATGAAATGCTCGTTAAAATATCAGACACCTAGTCACAAAGCTCAAAGTTACTACTGGCACTAGCATTGGACTTCCTTACACCCGTAGCAAACGATAAATATCGATCGAATAAGTAAGGACACTTGTAACATTTACCTTTCATCTATATACCTTAAATAAAGAACGGTGTATTTGCGATTTAAGTTGCCGTTAAACGGAAAAGCGTAGTTTCTCAGCACTGAGCAGCATATGTGCATGTCGTAAGAAATCCCGTAAGACATTACAGTCGCCCGTGACAAATCTCATTAAAAGCTGGCGTTCTGTAATTAAAAGTCGCGTTTAAAAGCGGAATTGGGTATTGGGTCTGCGACGAGGGCCAAGACTATAAATAAAGGTGGACATGGCTTGATTAGAACAATCGAGTTGTAAAGCAAAGAAAATAAGCAGGACCAAAGAAAAGACTCGGCGGACTGCGATTTTGGAATATTAATGGGATGGGAGAATAGTTGGGACCGTGATTGATCCGGGGTGCAGGGGCAATGGGAGGGTTTTGAGGGAGTTGGGGTGTAGCGACGATAACGGCTCGTGGAACAACGGGGAAAAATGGCCGTGGGCCGTTGTCAGCTCGAGTCTAACGCTTACAAGCACACGACAATGCCGACAGAGAGCGTCTTTGTCCATTTCCGTTGGTCGGACGCGCATCGCGTATCGCTCTACCGACGGCATGCCGCGAGCAAGACAAAAGTCCTGCGTACAAAGAGATCCTTCATTACGGTCTGCTGCTTCTTCCCGGTTTTCTTTTTTTTCTCTTCGCTGTCCCCACCCTCCCAAGACGTTTGTTCCGAGGTAGAAATCGAGCCGTCGCTCTGTCTATGGGCACGCATCGACGTCGGCCCGTGACGTAGAGCTTCGACCGCCACGTGAATGGCTCGAGTGCGTGCGAATTTCTTCGTCCCCCTTCACCGAACACGTCACCCCCTCGCCTAACTCCAGCAGTCACACTCGGACCTGCGCGAACACACACACGCACGCACGCACGCACGCACTCCTCGCGGAACATTTTATCCCTTTTTATCTTTGGCTTTTTCTTCTTTTCTTTATGTGGCCCTCCTCCGATTCTTTTCTAAGCGCAGAATGTAATTTACTATGAAAAGATCGAAACTGGGATTGCCCGGATATTATTGATGTCGACTGTTCGTGTAGACTCGATGTAATCGATATATTGTTCGGCAGCTCTTCGTTTTGTTATTATTATTGTTGTTTTAGGTCGTTTCTTATCGTGCGGATATGTAAATGGACGATTCGTTTGGGTCTGCCGAATGGATGAATGAATTCATTTTGTTGAAAAAAAAAAAAAGAGGCACGAGGACATTCCGCTATGTCATAACTCCAGTGTGTTTACCAATTACGGAAATTGTCGATTAACAGGATTGGGAGGGAAGGCGTTATTTAGCTTTCCATAGCACGAAATCGTATGTACATAATTTATTTACTATTGATTAGATTGAGAAATGTCATTTCCATTATCCGCATCCGTTAAATTTCGTTGATTCTCTTGCATTTTTCCTGTCAATTTGCCAAGCAACCCATACACCTCTACTCCCCTTCCCCACCCACCGCCACCGCATCGCGATAATTCGTCTGGATTTTATAGATGCTATTTTTAACGAATTCAATAGGAGATTTTGTACATTCGCGATCGATATTGAATTAGAATTATAATGGCAGAGCTATGCGTGATTAAACTATAATCGTCACAATGTTTATTAAACTTGAAGCGAATTGTTTAATAATATTAGAAAACGCGACTTTTACAAATATGATTTACTTGAGATTTGTCAAACAATTGTATCGGCAAATGTTTATGACATCCAATGCCATATTTGGTCATCGGTTTACAAAAAATATTGACATTGTCTTATTCATCTTGAATAAAAGTTCTTAATCGCAACAATTGAATTTATAGTCTCAAAGCCTTTGATATATTACTGCATAAGACGAGCAACGAGGAAATCCTTTAAACATGGAAGCACACTCGAAACGATTATTACATTTACTTTTACCCATTTCGCGGCCTTTATTCTATGTTTCTCTTTACCTTTGCTATTTCTATCGTATAAATTAGTATATATATATATATATATATATATATATGTTTAAACATTTTACTTTGCAAAATGCAAAATTTTTGTCATTAAAAATAATCATTTGTCCTTTGTCTGCTTGATATGATTATGATCTGAACTAAATGTAATTTATAGGGACGATCGACAAAAGACAGCGCGTATTTTCCAATTCGAATCCAAGCAATTTTATGAAGTAAATGGACAGGATTCTCAGCTGGTCGCTCCGACGGGAAGAACTCAAAAATATTCAGGAGCACGTTTACGCTAGTCCAAGTAATAACACACACGGTATAAGACGTCTGCTCAGCCCGTCAGCGTTAAATTATAGTTTAGCGGCCAAGTCTAAATACCTTCAACGTAAGAATAAAGTACAACATACGCGGGGCCGATTTATGCCCAATAAATTGTCCGGGTTTTATGCAAGGACAGGATGAGGCTACTCACCATCGACGTGAAGTAGAACTTCTCGAATTCCCGCTCATGTAGCCGCGCCGCCGTGAGACTCGTGGCCGAGTGCTGTCCGTGCTTCGAGAGGATGTCCTCGCCCTTTTTGCACAACCACGAGAGAACCTAGACACATACACGGCAAGCATTATATTATTTTCTGCTCCTGTAGGCCTCTTGCCTTATTCGATATTTAAATTCGAATTGGTCGGAATTGATGGATTGGATAATATAGGCTGCTGGCTGGATCGAGCTTGCGTGTGCGTTGGGCATTGATGCAAGATGCTATTTCAATTAGTGAACACTCCGTTATGAAAAGAAACTCTAATGACGCGCGTAATAGGAGTATAAATATCGGTAGTAAAAGTATCGGAAGGAAATTGTTGAGCAAGTATCTCGATGTCGTAGCTGGCGAATGATACATTTGCCGCACGATTGTCAAAATACTTGGCTTTGAAAATTTAATCGAAATATATATATATATATATATATATATATAAAAAGTCTGTTTAATTATGGTTAAAAAAAAAAAAAAAAAAAAAAAAAAAAAAAAAAAAAAAAAAAAAAAAACAGAAAGAAAAAAACTAAAATAAGTAGCACCAACAATAATAATGATAATGAGAGTCGAGGACTATTGAATTAATGGCAATAATTATGAAAACAGCTATAAACGAATAATAATAACGGCGATAATGAATTTGTAGTGCAAGTATTGCAATACGCAATGCCATAGATAAGGCAAATTATAATTATACATTTAAACGATTTCATAAAGCTGTATTTATTAAGAAAGTTAAATTAAAATATTTAGCTTGGAAGCATAATCTGCGTTATATAATTACTACCGTTTACAAATTAATTGCACCTTTAATGAGCAACTAATAGGCAACATAACGAATGAAGTTGTAACTGAGAAAACGAGAAAATTTCGACCAAATGCAAGCGATGTTATGCGATTTGCAAATTTACTAGTATGCTTGGTTAAGAGTTTCCGTTCTTAATTGCATGCGAGAGCATACACAAGTATGTAGAGTATGTTAATGGGATTTATGAGTCATAAGATTATAAAGACTTATTACATCTTCGTAATAATAAATTCATTATTGTCTTTTCATCGTGTGTTTTTTTTTTTTTTTTTTTTTTTTTTTTTTTAAACCATTGCGCAATGTTCGATACTTTTACATATTACAACTCTTATTCTATAATGTAAACGCAAAATGCAAAACGAAAAATAAAAACAAGTTGAAAAAAAAGGTAAATAAATAAATGACGAAGAAAAGGTGATGGTAAAAACGCAATGTATTGAAAAGTCGTGTTTATCAAGTGAAATGTCGAGAAATCTGTCACTGTTAATTGCCATCTCAATACCCCATTAAATAAATTACCTATCAATGTGAATAAAACAAAAATATCCTAATAATAAATATAAAATGAAAAATATTGGCCGAGTTAAAGCTACTGCATTAGAAATTTATACCTTCGTCAAAATTAAAAGAAGCACGTTTCTTCGTAAGTTGCTTCATTCTTCTCAAAATCAAAAAGATAAACAGTTAAATTACAATCGATACTAAATAGAGACCGTATGCTGAATAATAATATAGGAGTGCTAATTTGTCTTTCAATTCACTTAACCAGCAACTTCAGATAATCACAAGCAATAAGAATCTCTAATTAGTAGAAATTGAATGGCGCAAAAAGCACATTTTAATTTCTTATTTTTTAGTCAGCATCGAGTCAGCAGTACTCCGACGAGTACTCATTTCTACACGATCGTCATGGTGTTAGCGCTTATGGGTGTACAAGACGGCTGAAAGCATGGAGGAATAAATCTTCCAGCGCGTGAATCAACCAAGTTCATTTGCCGATGATCGATAGCGCATGTGTCGCGATCTTGTCTCTCACGACGCGGTAATTAAGCCGGAAATCTACGGTCGGCGGCGCTTAAGACGAGTTCAGGTTGCTCGCGGCGTCCCCCTTTACACGATATGAAGTCTTTGCACTTGGAAGATTCAATGCGCACTTGAACTCAAGCATGTTATTTCAATGATTTGAATGCTTGACTACTCTCGGCATTGAAATTCACAATCTAAGTAACCGTGTCATGCATTTGCCAATGCAATAGGAAATTATTCACCAAGTCATCACAAATATTTAATCAAATCACTAAATGCTCAAGGGGCCTGTTGCATTCTTTTGCTTCGGCAACACTTTCCTTACGTTCCTTGTGGGTGATAAGGGCCCTATTTTCTAATACTATGACTTTGCGCATTATCTATACTTTAATTATTAAAAAGTTCTTTGTTGTTAATAGAATTATTGTATATTTCATTTATGCATACAGCATTTGTTGTTATAATTTTTTCACCCACCCTCCCACCCCCGGCCCACTATTTATACGAAAATCACCGTCATTCAATGACGAGTATGAAAATTGATAGTAATTTAAATTTAATACGAATAATCAAACTCTTAGGATTAGAAACAATGTTCATGGAATCATAGCGTATCCGTTATTATTTCCGTGGATACAATTTGCTTAGAATCTCACGGTTCTCGGCCATTTTCGCTCGAGAATAAACAAAAAGTATCCCGACTGAATAAAAATTGATGATTCCCAGTGAACGAAATTGCAAGATTACATCGATTTAAAATTTTTGATTGCCCAGATGGTCACGGACCTCCTTCCTTAACATTTGTAACCACGAGGGAAGCCTTATGCATTTTACTCGGCATCATTCCATTTTACACAGACAAGCCGTAAAATGATGAATCGCGGAAGATAATAGTTTGACCTTTTCTGCTCGTTTCTTTTTTTTTTTTTTTTTTTTTTTTTTTTTTTTTTTTGTAGTTTTACGGTTAATCCTCCATTTCCAGGTAAAATGAAAAAAAAAAATGGAAAAAAAAAAAAAAAGACAAAAACGTGAAACAGAACGAATCGGTGATCAAATACGTAATCAAACGTTACATTTCTTAATGACGATTATTCCTACGCGTGAAATGCTTTCGTTGGTCAGAAAAATGAGATATTATGTACCGTGTGTTAGATCTATATTTTGTCAATGTCGCAAACATAATTTTTTTACCAGAAATTGCAAAATGCAATATAATTGATTAATACACTTTAATGATATGCAGGGCAATGTCACCTTTTCACGCAAATTAAACCAATTACTTCAACTCCATTATTAGTCAGACTACAATCGGTCTCCTCTCTCACGCATATTCTGTCACGACTAAAAGGCAAACCATTATTTTACTTTTGCACGCATATGCTAATAATTAAGAATAATAGATTATACGTTAATCGTAAGCCGTGATTGTAAAGTAAAAATTATTTTGTCACTCTGAAATATGATCGAAGCCATCCATACATAAGATCCCATAAGAGTATATCCACACGAGTAAATAAACAATAATTCAACATTAATTTCTACAGAATTGCGATCGGTTGTTTAGAGGAAAGCCAAAGTGTCATCTAAAAAAATATATCCCACTGCAAAAAATACATAATTCCTCGTTCCCACAAGCGACATCAAGATAATTCGCGAGCAAACGTCAATCGGACACCCACGACAAACCGCAGCTACTCGACTAATAATGCCGGCAAAATAACCGTCGGATCGCCATGTAAATTCAGCCAATAATCAATAAGAGCGAATAGCGGGAAAATTAATTCACCAGTCGGCTTGTAAGTACGGATGAAACGAACGTCCGACGAGCCGCACTACTACTCAACGGCACGAAGAAATAGCGAAGAAAAAGCATAATATCATGCATAACCACCCTCCATAAGTAAGCAAATGCAAATTAATTATAATGAAATCAAAGTAATTAACCGCTCTGACACGAACAAAACATTCACTGGATCTTCAGGCAAAAAAACGCGACTGCCCCTCGCCACTCCCAATTACCCTCCTCCCAATGCCCCTCGTCCCATCAATCACGGATTCGAATTAATTTCAAAGGTAGATTCGCTGTTATTACAGCCGGTGTAATAATTTTACCAGTACAGTCGCAGGCCTAAAAGCCTCGGATGCGATGCGCATACATCGCGAAGATTTTACGGGGGCGGGATAAGGATGGATGATGGGGATGGGGCTGAAGGTACGGACGCGCGACTAATTAGATCGCGTGGAGAGCGATTAATCATACGGCGGCTCTTGGGTCCGAGCTCCCGAGAAAGAGAAAATCAGTGGGGTGTGATGTGGCGGTGGAGCAGGAGGAGGAGAAGGAGGAGGAACGAGTAGGAGGAGGAGGAGGAGGAGGAGGAGGAGAAGGAGGAGAAGGAGAAGGAGAAGGAGGAGAAGGAGGAGAGAAAGGCGAGTCTGGATGGATATAATTAACGGGAGCGCGAGCGAAATGCTCCTTCTCTACTGATGAACGAACGAGCTAAGTGGGAAGGTGGAGTGCGAGTGTCGGAAGAAAATGAACGAAAGCGAGAAGCCGGCGCCTTCGCACAACTCGGGGGAGCCTTTTCCATTTTTGTTGGAGCGCGGAGGGACGAGGAGGCGAGTGCGAGAGCAGGTAAACAAGCGCCGAAGGAAAGAAAGGGTCGAGAACCCAGGATTACGTAAGCGTAAAATTGGGTTGGCCCGAACGAGGCTCTTTTACGACTCATCTATTGAACTTCTCGCGTTTTACATCGTCACTTTTCCTTTTAGTGGGTAAGCGCGAAATAATTTTTTCGACCCTTGGGGCCTCCATCGCTTTCAAGGGCCTTTTCCACGCCCTCGCTTTCCTTTTCTTTCGCGTACGTTGCCTCGTTTATTCGTTTCGGCTTAGCTCAGACGATACGGGACAAGAAGCTACAACCGGCACTTAAGATCTTATGTAATAATCGGGACGAAGCGACGAAGCAATCGATTAAAGGAGGATTAAGTTAGCAATGGAGTGGCCGTTGAATTCATATTAGTTAAGCGCTATTCGGTATAATATAATGTAGGGTAATAAATTTTCGAGTAATCTCGATATCTTGACTCGTACTGGGATTTATCTTTGAAAAATTTTCTACTTAAAGCAAATAAAGTCTTATGCCGAGTACAGATTAAGCTCAACAATCTTCATGCAGAAAAAGAAAAATGGAGAAAGAAAGGAAAAAGAAGAAATCATACGCAAATAAAAGTATT